TGGTTCCATAGGTTGTCAGTATTGGAGACTTATTTCATCCCCAAAGATGGGAGCCTGGCCTCTTACAAGGAATACATCAGCATGTTGCCTGGCATGGATCCCCCTGAAGTCTTTGGCCAGCATCCCAATGCCGATGTGGCCTCTCAGATCACTGAGGCACGGACTCTCTTTGATACTCTGCTTTCTCTGCAACCCCAGATTACACCCATCAGGGCTGGAGCACAGAGCAGGGAAGAGAAGGTAAGAGAAACCTGGGCCATGAGGCGTCTGAGGCAAGAACAGACACTTGGGCAATGGTGTGAGGGCACAATGAGAAAGGGGGACCTGTATTGAGAGCTCTTGCCTCCATAGGTTCTTGAATTGGCTGGTGATGTGAAGCAGAAGATCCCTGAAATGATTGACTATGAGGGTACCGAAAAACTGCTGGCTCTAGACCCTTCCCCCCTCAATGTGGTCCTGCTACAGGAGATCCATAGATACAACAAGCTCATAGATACCATTCTGTAAGATGGAGAAGGGCTCTGCGGAACATGGGGAGGGGGCAAATGGAAAGGCCTTCACCCCCTGCCTACGATTGCTCTCCTAGGGCCACCCCATCTCTAACCTTCCATCTTATCCTGCTCAGGTCCTCACTGACAGACCTAGAAAAAGGTATCCAGGGCCTCATCGTCATGTCTACAAGCCTGGAAGAGATTTTCAGTTGCATCTTTGATGCGCATGTCCCTCCACTCTGGGGAAAGGCAAGATTACACCACTGTTAATCCTACTCTGACAATAAGCTGTTCGCTCATCCGTTTGCCCCCTAGTGCTAGGGTGGCATATAGCAAACTGCAGTGAGCCTGGGTTCTGGTACCAGATAGATTCAAGGTTGAAATATTGCTCTGCCATTCACTGTCTTTGCACAATTTATTTATTTAGAAACTTAGGGCAAATCACTAACCTCTTTAAGGAGGTTTCAAAAGATTCCCAGTACTGTATACAACATTTAGTAGGTGCTTCATTAATGGTAATTAGTTAATATTGCTGTTGCAATTGTTATTGATAAAATAGTTGTCATTTTTTGCTGCTTTTCTGGGAGGTGGCTTTTGGAGAGCTTTGCCCAACTATAGCTGGGGAACACTGGCTGAAACCACATATAATCCTTATATTGATTTTGGATTTGAATGCATGAATAAACGAATGAACACATATACACAATGCCTCCCTCAGGCATATCCCTCACAAAAGCCACTGGCTGCGTGGACCCGGGACTTGGCCATGCGTGTGGAACAGTTTGAGCTGTGGGCCAGCCGAGCACGGCCTCCTGTGATCTTCTGGCTGTCTGGATTTACCTTTCCCACTGGTTTCCTCACTGCCGTGCTGCAGTCTTCAGCTCGCCAAAACAATGTAAGCAGTGTGGAAAGTGTGTCGGGAATGGATTCTGGGAACAGGTATTTGCTTTCCTCTTTGGAGTTTCACCCTTATTCTTACCTTCAATCCCCAGATTTCAGTGGACAGCCTTTCTTGGGAGTTTATTGTTTCCACTGTGGATGACAGCAACCTAGTATATCCACCCAAGGTGGGAGCCAGATGTGCTTGGGGATCTGAGCAAAGATGGGTGGGGTGGAGGAGGGTGCTTGGAAAAAAAGATGGGAACTAATTGAGAAGAGAGGTAGCAGGGTAGCGGTGCTGGCAACCGAGGGTCTATCCCACAAATCCCATTTCTCCCCAGGATGGTGTGTGGGTTCGGGGTCTTTTTCTGGAAGGTGCTGGCTGGGACTGGAAGAATTCCTGCTTAGTGGAGGCAGAGCCCATGCAGCTTGTCTGCCTCATGCCCACCATCCACTTCCGGCCTGCTGAGAGCCGCAAGAAGAGTGCCAAAGGTGAGACCAGCTCCTTAAGACCTCTTGCTAGGTTGGATCCTAACTCACCCTCTGCTCCATCCATGCTTCCCTGACAGACAGACAGACAGACACACACACACACACACAGCTCCTGCCTTACTTTCCCAGAGTCTCTGATCTCACTTTTTTTTTTTTTAAAGATTTATTTATTTATTTATACAAGCACTGGGTACAGTCAGAAGCGGGGGGAGGGGTGTGTGTGAGCGAATTCACCAGAGCGGGGAGCAGAGCAGACAGACAGACGAAGTACACTGCTGAGGGGAGCAGCGGGCGGCAGGAGAGGTCTGCGCGCCATGTGGGACCCTTGCCTGGTGGCCGGGGATCGAACCAGTGCTGCAGAGGCTGCGGGCAGCTTCGCAGCCCAGTGCTCAACCGCTGCGCCACCGGGGAGGTCCTCTGGTCTCACTTTTTTCTTCTCCTTTCCTTCAGGCATGTACTCCTGTCCATGCTATTATTATCCCAACCGGGCAGGCAGTACAGACAGAGCCTCCTTTGTCATTGGCATCGACCTCCGGTCTGGGACTATGACATCTGACCACTGGATCAAGAGAGGCACTGCTCTGCTGATGAGCCTGGACAGCTGAGAAAGCCTCTCCATCCTCACCGCGTGAGAAAGGACCAAGGATAGGGACTCTAGGAGTGAAGACTGATATTGCATCTCAGACTGTGACTGGATCTGATTCAGGCCTTTGACCTTGGTTGAATTTGTTGTGGGATGGGGCCTGAGATACTTGTTTGTACCGGCCATAAAGGTGGAAGAATTGTATTGGAGTCCAGTGACACCCGCGACCACAAGCCCTAAATTTCACAATGGGATGGCGGGGGTTTGGGGAGGAAGGGAGACCCAGCCTTGCAAAGGCCAGGAGCTTCGGTGAGCCGCTGCGGGAAAGGTGCAAGGAAAGTGGCCATGAGCGGCGGAGAGGCGTGGTCTGAACGCACGGACCTGGCGGAGGGGCTGAAGAGGGTGTGGCTAAGTTTCGTGCGGTGCGTGGAGCGGGTCTTTGGAAAGGCGCGAGAACCAAATAGAATAGGGGTTTGTCAGGCAGGGGTCGGGGCTGGACCCAGCACACAGCACCCCGAACCCTGTGCCCCGCCTTCGGCACCCCAGCCGGCACCCGCGCCGAGGCGAGCGGGCGCCTCAGATGGCGGGGCGGAGCCGAGGGGAGACTGCGGCGTGAGAATGGGCGGGACCGCGCGAAGGGGGCGGGGCGGGAGCCGGGGGGCGGTGTTTGTGTTGGAAAATCCAACTGCGCCACGGGGCGGAGCGGCCCCCCCAGCCCCAGCCTGGGAGAGGGGGGGCCGCTCGACCCCCTGGGAGACCTTGGGGAACCTGAACACCTGGGATACCCCAGAGCCAGGTAACGGGGAGCCGCGAGGCTTCTGGACCGAGAAATCACCTCCGCGCAGGGGGGCGGGACGCCGGAGTCACAGAGGAGTGGAGCTGGGGATGGACGCGTAGGTCTCGGCAGAGGCACCGGGAGGGAGACTGGGGCGCAGGACGCCTGGGTCCCCTGGAAGAGAGCGGGGCGTGGGGGGCGTGTTGTTGGGAGTCATGTCTTGAGTTTCGGGTGTCAAGAGGGTCACGAAAGAGTTCGAGTTCCCCTTGGGCTGGGATTCCCCTTTCTGACACTAGGGCGGGGCGAGGCGTGCGGGGATCCCTTAGCAGAAGGGCAGGACTTAAAGGTGAGTGTTTGCAGATAGGTCAGTGCGAGAGCCGCCCGAGGTTGGCGCGGGCAGAGAGGGGCCGCTCGCAGTCTACCTCCGTTTCTTCCCCGGGGTGAGGTGTGCCGCCTCGGCCTTGGCCCTAACACCCGGAGCCCCGAAACCTTCCGCGGCGGCCTTCGCCCTAGCCGCCGCATTTCGCCTCTCTCCATTCTGCGGCGCCCGGCTTATCCCCGGTGCTACCCCCGCTCTGCTGTCTCTTGCTGCGAGACCTCCCGGGTGGGGGCCTCTCCGCGCTGAACCTTCCCAGCGTGGCCACGAGATGGCGAGGGCGACGCGCACAGCCCGGCTGAGGGGACTGGGCGGGGATGCGGCTGCGGAGGGCTGAGCGAAGCCCCCCGCTCCGGCCTGAGGGGCAGGTGGGCTGGGGCGTTCACTTGACTTCCTGCCGTCTCGGCACCCCCACAGGAAATTGTGGGCGGGAGAGCGGAGGGCAAAGGATGGGGAGAGAGTTGGGGGCTCGATCTCTGCCTCCCCAACTGGGGTAAATAGTGAGGAGGGGGCACGCGGCTGGTTACTAAGCAACGCAGATTTCGCTTCCTGTCTGCTGTGGCTTGTGGCTGCTATTTGGGGTGGGAGTTGGCGAGAGCGGGGGGGTAGGAAGGAAGGGGGTGCTGGGAGACTATGGGGAAGGTCGAGGGCAGGGTGTCTGGTTCCCGGGACGGGGAGAGTCAGGGAGAAGAAGGGGGGCAGCGAGCTGTGCAGTCGCAGAAATGGACTCGGTATTCGTGTGGAGGGGGGCGCGACCCTGGCGCGGCTCGGAGCCGCAGCGCTCCCCGCCCCTCCGGGGGTTGCTTGCCCTGTTGCCAGAGTAACTGGAGCTAGACTGGGATGCGGATTCCCGAACTCTCGCGTCGGCCCAATCCGCTCCCGGGGACGTCCCTGACATCAGGGCCCTGGGAGCCAATGGAGAGGAGGCATCCTGGAGCGACAGGAAGAGGGGGACGGGAGGGGTGGCGGCGAGGAGAGGAGGGGTGGCGGCCCGGCCCGCACGTGCACTCCCACACGCTCGCGCCCCCTCCCCTCCGCCGCACGCGCCCTGGTGCCCGCACCCCGCGCCTGCGCCCTGGCTCCGCGCTCGTGTCCTCCCTTCCCACCCCCTCCCCCCGTCTAGAGTCAGTGTTTGCAAACTAGTCCAGGGCTGTTCGCCTTAGCCCCTGGGGACCTAGACGTCTGGGTCCGCCTGCGCGCGCTCTCTGGGTCTGGAAACGTTAATATCTAGCCTTGCGTGGGAGGGGCAGCTACCTGTGCCAGCCCCCCCCCCCCAGCTGGCGCCCCTCTCTCCCAGGTGGGCTGGGCGGTGCTGCGGTTTCCGGCCCCATCTGCTGCGCCGTTGCCTTCCCGGGCTCTGGCTTAGGTTGCCTCTTCAAGAAAAGCGGAACGGGCACCAGCGCCCCTTCCCGAGGCTTCACTCGCCGGGCTCAGGGACTGGTGGTGGTGGTGGGGTAGGGCGCTGCCGGTCAGCCCCGGAGGGCCCCGGCGACTCCTCCCGAGCCATGCGCCCCCTCTGCGCGTGAGTTCTTCCTCTAGGATGTGCACCACAGTCACTCCCATCCCTGACGTTTCTTCGCCACTTCTCTTGACGCTCTTTACACACGCGCGCGCGCACACATCCCTGCTCATTTCGGGCTGCCTGTCCCCGACTCCACTCGTCCTTCTCGGCTGCTCCCGGTTATATAACTCTTCCTCTCGCCGTGTCCTGGTTTCAACTCCACAGACTCCGCCCTGGAACAGCGCGGGGAGGGGCAGGAGAGTTAAGGACCCAGACAGATTCCGGCTGGCGGCCGGCTGGGGAATTGGGGATCCCGCAGGTGGGGAGACGGAGCCCCACGGGACCCGGTGTCCCCGACCACATTCCCCCCCCCCCCCAGCCGAAATCTCTTCCAGGAGCGAGAAGGCAAAGTATCTGAGAGGCGTGTTAGCCGCTCTCAGCGATGTGGGCTGGGAGGTCAGGGCTGGAAGAGCGAGGCTGGGGACCCTCGGGTTGACGCTGAACAGGGGTTTAATAGAGAGAGAGACAAGACGCCTGGGTTCCTGCTTTTCCTTTTTGGGTTCCCAGAATGCCTAAAGCTATTTCCCAGGAAGCTTAGCCAGCAGCCCCTCTCCGCCCCTAGGGGTCAAAGGTCTGTGTTAGAGGTAGCCTGGGATGATGTCACCAGTGCACGTGCCCCGGGGTGGTTGCCAGGCAATGAGGCCTCCTCCCCTTTCCAATCCGGCCCCTACCCCACCTCTGCCCCGAGTCCAGTTCCAGCCCCGTGCCACCTTTTCCCCTTCGCCCTTCCCGTGGTTTTAGCATTCTGCAGGTGGGAAACCCTGGCCTGGAGTTTTTTTTTGGGGGGGAGGGGCGAGGGTGTGGTGCCACCAAAAGACTTTGCCTCTTTGCTGGGCAAAACCCTGGGTCACTTTGCCCTTGATTGATACAGAAGAGTTTCCCTTCCAAGTCTCCTCCCCACTTGAAAGAGCTTCCCAACAACCTCTTTACTTTCCCACCTGCTGCATTGTCAAGTGTCCTATTGCCCCGTCCCCATTTTGAGTTGAAGTGGGAGTGGTTGCAAGATAGTTTTCCCCAGGAAAAGAGCTGTATGGGGGAGTCACTGGATTCCAGTTTATCCCTGACTTTAATCAGTGGTACCCCCACCTCTTCCAGTAGCGAAGAAGGTCAAGATGCAATATTAGACTGAAAAATCAGGGTCTTTATTCTAAGTGGGTGGGTCAGTTTGTAGCCCTTCTCTTGAGCTAGGAGTACCTCAGATGATGGCTATGACTGACCTTCTCTCTTGAGTTAAATCCTGTGGTTGGTTGTGGTATGGGGGCGGAGGGGAAGAGTGTTTTTAAGTACCTTAGAGCTTAAGCAGTCAGGTCAGACTCGGCTTCCCTACCCAGCTCTGTCACTTAGTGGCTTTTGGGAATAGAAAAGGTCACAACCTCTCAGAGCCTCTCATTCAGAATCTGGGAAATTTAAATATCAATACCTACCTTTTAGGCTGTTGGGAGGGGAAAATGAGATAACATAACATGCAAGACACTTAGCTTGGGTGCTTGGCGCAGAATGAACCCTGAATGAGTGCTCATTACAAAATTCTTATTGTTAGGTGGTGGTAGTTATTATTATTATACATTATGTATCGATGGACGTGCTTCAAACTGGTCAGGACCTTAGGAGTTTATTAGGGAGGAGTGGAGATTTCCTATTAATTTGGTGGGTGGAGGGCTGGGGATTAGCTTCCACTGCTTTGTGCACTTTATTTGACGAAAGCTTTAGTCAGATTTGTATTGCTTTCTTTAGGATTATTTTTTCCCCCCTCTTGGAGAAGAAACAGCTAAGACTATTCCTCTAGCTGTGAAAATAAAATAATTGTATTGTGGTTCTTGATTTTTAAGCAAGACCCCAGTCCCCTCCCATGTTGTTGTCAGGAGCCTTTTAATTTTGCATAGGGACTCCACAGTTTCCTTTGCGGGGACCGGGCTAGGCTGAGGGGTGTGTAAAAGGTTGGGGTGGGTGGGTGGAGAGAGACGAGTGCTGGGGGCTGGAGGGGGGGTGGCGAGCGGGTAGTTAAAGGAAGAGACCGGAAGGGAGGAGGAGGGAGCCTGCTGGTGGGGAGGGAGGGAGGGGAGGAGGAGGTGGAGGAGGAGGAGGAGGAGGAGGAGGAGGGAGGGGGCTGGGGAGAGCCTGCTACAGTTCTTTGTTTGACTCCGGGACTCAGGGACGGGGAGGAGGAGGGAGGGAGGCAGAGGCTGCAAGCGCCGGGGCAGGCCCAGGAGGCAGAGGAGGGACCGTCTCCCCCGCCCCCCCAGCCCCCACTCCCCCCCTGCTGCTCCCCCCTCCCCACCCGGACTCCGGGGGCACCGCCGGGGGACAGACACCCAGCAGGTAACCCCGGCCTGGCTCGCCCTCCCCTCTCGGATTTTCCTTCACACCCTCTGGGATGACCCCTTTCCCCGGTTCCGTCTCCCCGTTTTCCCCTGGCCTTGCCTCTTTTCTTTGGCCCTCCTTGTTCCGTCTCCCCCACTTGGGCTTGTCGCCCGCTGGCTGCGCCGCCGTCTCGTGCAGCCTGACTCCCTTCCCCTCGCCCGACAGCCTGTGCGCCCTAGGTCTGCCCACGGCACCTTTCGGGGCTCTGTCTCGCGCTTCTCTGGGCTTTGCTTTCCTTCCGACCTGTCCCCTGGGGCTCTAAGGCAGGAGGGAGTCCCTGTCCTTTTCTCCCTCCCCCTGTTCTCCGCCCCCCCCCCAACTCTGGCCCCTTTTCTCCTTCTAGCAGTCTCTAGGGGTGGAGAGAGAACCGGAATTTGGGGGGCCCTCTGGAGGGGCAAGGGGCTGTGTGTATGCTGAGTGTGTGCTGGGTGGGGGTGGGGATGGTTAGAGACCTGGGTCCCTCTCCGTTGTCCCTTTAAATGGCCCTCACATTTCTGGGGACTCATGGGGGGAGGTGGCAAACTGCCTGCCTGGGGGGGGGGGCAGGGCCCTCAGTTCCTCCACACAATCAGGGGTGGTAATGATTTAAAGGGACAGCCTCAGGGTGGCCGCTGCCACCCTGCACCGGCGGGAGGGGGAGCAGGCAAGCAATGTCTGGGGAGGCTTGGCTGGTGAGCAGGGCATTTGAGGCTGAGTCTGTTGCAGGGCCTGCCAGGTCTTGGATGGTGTTGTGGCTGGGAATGTGCAAGGAGGGGTGACAGCTTGCCTAGGGGGCACTCAGCTGGCTTTCTCCAGTGCCCCACCTCTGTGTTCATGACTCCTTCACCAAGAATCCTTGAGCCCAAACTAAGGAGTCTGTTGGCTACCAGGTGGGGGCCACCAGCATGTCTGCAGGTCAGCAGCCTGACCTGGGCACATTGGAGCTGGCCCTTCAGCTTCTCCTTTTGTTGTTTGTGCACTAGAAAGCTCCAGCTCCTCCTCCAGCTCCCCCTTCCCATCCACATGCCCACCCCCCCACATATACACACCCACCCCAGCTGTTGGACAGATGAATTACAGCCTCAGGCTTGGGGCCAGGGCTGTGAGGGATTAAAGCTCTGGGACTGGCCCTTTAAATGGTTGTTGGTCCTTTAAATGTTTGTTGGCCCTTCCCCCACTTTGGTGTCCAGACACCCCATACACACTGGCTGCCCCTCACTTCTCTAGACCTGTCCTAAGGCCTACCACTCCCCTCTCTCTAGGCTCCCCAGTGTCCTCTTCCTGCCCCCCCCCCACCACCCACCTGCAACACGACCACATACACAAATGTTACAGACTACATACACACTCTGCTTTCCCTGGTCCCACATACTTAGTGTTTTTCTGTTAGAGGATTCCAGCCTCAAGCTCCCCTCTCCAGCAGAAGGAGCTTGCCTGCCTAGCTTGTAGCTGACCACTACTCTGGCTCAGTGAGGGGCCTTGTATGGGTCAGAAATAGCACCTCCCTGGGGGCAGTGTCATCAGCAGCGGAGACAGCTTGCAGCACATTGCATCATGGAGGCTGGGGGCTGGAGCCCTGAGTCTCTGGGGCAGGGGGAAGGATGGAGGCTGGAAGGCCAGGGAATGGAGAGATCAGACTGGAAGTCCAAATGTCTCGATCCTTAAGGGCAGGGAACTGTTGGCTAAGGAAGCAGAAAACACAGGCCCCTGAGGAGTGAGTTTGAGATGAGGGTACACTTAGGTCTGACCCCTCGATGGACACCTGATTATTGGCCCTGGACTTAGGTTAAAAGACATGGCTTTTGTCTCTGGGAGTTAGAAGGGGAGGGAGTGGGCCTCTATCACCTTCTTGGGCCACACAGAGGAAGGAGGTGATGGGGAAACAGGATATGGCCTTGAGGGGTGGGATAGAAAGGAGGCTTGCTTGCTGCAGAGGCTACTTCCAGACCCAGGCCCAAAGTCACAGTCCTTGCTGGAGAGTAAGGCTCCTCCCTGCAGGGCCCGTTCATCTAGTCTGGCCACCTGTGCTGCTCGCCAAGACCTGCCTGCACCCGCCTGGGGGAAGGGGAGGGGGCAGAGTCCAGAGGGTGGGGTTGACTGGTGTCTTGATAAGGTTAGGGAGGAGACAGCCAAAGGAAGAGGATCTACTTGCTTAGGGTCAGGGTTGAGGCCGACTTGGGTGCAGATATATGGGGCAACTGGGGCTGCTCTAAGACCAGGGACTCTCAGAGGAGGGTCCAGTTAGAAGAGGGATCCTGAGTTGGGTGTCCACTGTGGATTTATGCAAATGCCATAGAAGGCTCTTCTCACCCCCTGGTCCAGGCTGCTTCCTTAAAGGGGAAGGCTGGGGGACTGCTTTGAGATGGCTTTTTCTGGTTGTCATGGAAACAGACTCTCCCACCCCATCTGACCACCAGAGCCAGGTTTTTCTCAATGAGGGAACTGGGAGCACAGGAAAATTGTCTAGCCTGGGAGACCCCATCTCTCACTGTCTTTTTTTTTTTTTAGGTTCCCCCAGGCACCATGTCAGTCCCATAGCACCACCCACCCCACCCACCGTGGTCTGCTGCACCCCACTGCTGGGGCACTGGTTCCAATGAAACAGGGCACACCAAGCTCCATCTGGTAAGTCCTGCCTCTGAGCAAACCCTTCTACCTCCACAGTCCAACTCTGCAATACATACATGAGGGAAGAGTGGTCTGATCTGGATCGTGCCCACTCCTCAGAATGGTCCAGTCCGAGTCTGAGCATCCCCCCACCATGTGGTGTTTGGATGGTTCCGTCTTTCTAGTTTATGGAGCTCCCCTCTGTCACCTATGAATGGTTCAGTCCTGTACTTCTCCAGCTTCTCTCCCCTACCACCAAAAAATCTTCTCCCCTTAATGCTTCAATTTAGTTGTGTATTGAATGAAGCTATGGTTTGCAAGCTGGAAATTAGAGGTGAGGTAACCTGGAGGGATTTTTTATGGGAGGGGGAGCATCTTACCCCTCTAAGAGTTGTTGAACAAAGTTGTTGGAAATTGATTTAGGGAGACACTGGAGACCATACTTACCTGCTGTTGCCATGGCAATCTTGGCTGCTTATCTTTCTTTCCAGATCCATTTCTGTTTTTCTCCACACTACACTAAGACATTACCCCGCTCACACTTACTCCATCTGCTTTCCTTCTTCCTTTTGCTAGTTGTCTGCCCCAAGCCTTGCTCCATCCCCGATTCCTCTGTTGAGAAAAGATGGTATACCTAAGCCAGGGACTTAAGTTTTCTGAGTGTGCCTTGTTCTTCTCCACTACTCACTGAGTTTCTTGTGTGGGACTGTTTTTTTCTACGAATCTGTCACTGTTTGACAAGTTGGTTTACACATTGGGGTGCCTCAGTGGAATTGTGTTGAGTGAATGTGTTAACTGAATGGCTTCATTGCCAAGAAACCAATGGGTTCTGTGATATGCTGCATAGCCGCCTACCCAAACTTTCTCTAGAGGATATGAGACATTTGGAGTGGTAAACTGGGATAGACATGAGGGGAATGCTGGCTGACCCAGGAAATGGCCTATGAGAATAACACCATCAGAGGGGGAGCAGGACAAAGGCATTAGAGAAGAGTGGTAAGAATCAGGCCAGCTTTACCACTTTTTCAGAATGACATGGGCAAGTTACCTAATCTTCCTGAGCCTCAATTTCCTCATCTGTAAAATGGGGAAATGAAAGTACCTTCTACCTCAGGTTTTGGGGGAAGAGTTTAAAAATGTGTATAAAGTGCTTAACACTGTGCCTGCATGTAGTAAGTCTTCACTAAATGCCAGCAGTTGCCTCGTGGGAGCTGCAGGGAGCTGTAAGGATAAGCAAGGGTGTTGAGAAATAGGACAAAACTTGATCTGAATGCTGGCAGACCCCCAAATACTTGACTCAAACAGAAGGATCCTTGATCCAGCAAGATGTCAGGATTCAGGGGAGTGAGACAGGAGTAAGCAGGGTCAGCCTGCTGCAGTGTTTTCCTGACTTTGTTCAAGAACATGAAGGCAAACACAGAAGGGCATGTGCAGAGACACACGTGATCACACAAGTGATGCAGAAGCAGACCCAGACAAAAGGCTGAGATAGGAGCCAGGCAGACACACAGACAGAGACAGCCCCGCAGAGTCATGTAGACAGGAACGCGTCAGACACAGGCACTGGAGGAGACAAGATGAGCAGATATGCAGGTGCACACAGAGCCAAGACACCAGGACCCACACACAGCCGACCTTGTCAGACAGACTGGTGAACACAGCGGTCCAGTCAGAGGCCGACACAAGGCTCACAGTGACACATAGCGGGCCGGGGCCGGCACTGTCACTCCTCGGTGGGGGGGCGGGGAGGGACCAGCAGCGGGGGAAGGCTGGGGAAGGGAATCCCGAGCGGGCGGCCTGCCCGGGTGGCTGAGTCACAGCGAAGCCCCAGCCGGCGGTCCTCCCCTTCGCCTCCCCCTCCCCCAGGTAAGAAGCGAGCCTGTAACCCTTGGCTTCCACCGGGCAGAGCGGAGCCCGGCAGGCGGCGGGGCGCGGTGGGGTTCCGGGACCCGCCCCACCTCCGCGTGCGTGCGGCGCGCCTGCCGACTGCTCGGTAAAGCCCTGTCTGCGGGGTCTCGTCCTCGGCGGTCTCGTGAACCTGCGTGCGCCTGCCTAGCCTCTTACCCCGCGTCCCCTGAGGCTGGAGCGGCGCGCGGAGGGGCATCTTGGGCCTCAAGCCCGGAGAGAGTTAAGTGGTTGTGATTGATGGAGTGGGTCTCTCTCGGGGATCCGGAGGGAGGGGGTCGGTTAAAGTCCCCGAGTCCAGAGCCCGGATGGAGGGGGCGGTGCTGGGCTTAGCCGGGAGTGCCCGGATGGAGAGGGCGTGGCCTCAGCGGCAGGATTAACCCTTTACGAGCCGGTGACTCCTTGGGTGGTGGGTCGGGCGCGAGAGGCTGGAATGTCGCCTTGGAAGTACACCGTCCTCCCGGCCTGGCCTCGGCCGGGAGCATCTGCCTCCTTTCTGTCTTGAGAAGTCTGTGGGTGGCTGTCTTTGTGCTTGTCCGTGGTTGTCCCCTCCCTGTGCTTGGTGCGGACTCCGGGAGTCGGGGAGGGCTATTCCTGCCCCAAAGCGAGAGTGGAGGTGAGAGTGGGTCGCCACCCGGCTGCGGCGCCCGGGGGAGCAGGTGTGAGCGCCGCCCGGGGCTGCCGGCAGCGGGGGGGCCGTCGTGGGGGAAGATGGGAGGGGAAATTCCGCGGGACCGGTGGTGAGCGGTGTGTGGGCTGAGTTGTGTCTGCCTCTGACTGTGTCTGTGTGTGTTCGGGGAGGCGGGGGCTGAGTCAGTGGGAATAAGGGAAGGTTTTCTGGGTGACTCACGCTCCCCCACCCGAAGCCTGAATCAGACCCCGAGGGAGGGCTTTGTGAGGGAGGCGGGGGGGGGGTCGGGCGTCTGGGTCCCGGGTGGGGGGCCGGGACGCGGGGGGCTGGCGAGGGTGAGTGTGCGTTTAGTGTACAGGAAGTTTTTGTCCTCAGCGAGGGCTGCTGTACTCCGGGTACCGGCGTGGGGGGTGGAGAAAGGCGGCGAGGGGCTGGAGAGCCGGGGCTCGCGGGTTTAGGGAAAGCTGAGTCAGTTCCCCGTGGGAAAGGGGAAGTGGCAGAGGGGAAGTGTCATCATCGCCGGAGGGGAAGCTGCATTTCCTGGTAACTGGCAGCGCCCTCGGCACCACTTCCCAAGAGGGGGCTACTCTTCCAACGTCACGACCCCCGCTTCCCTCCACCCGCTTCTGGCCCACGGGTCCGGGCTTGAGGGGTGGGCACAGGCGGGCTCTCCTTGACCGCGTTAAGCGCTGGGCATGTCCCAGGACTCGGGAGCCGTAGAAAGGCTGTGTGGTGAGGAGAGTTCCGACAGGAGCTCCGCGTGAACTGCAGAGGGGTCCACAGAGCCCGCGCACCCTCCGCGGCTCTGCGGGGAGTGGCCCGCCAGGACCTGTGTCCGGGCGCTTCCTTCCTCACAGACGACCTTGCCCTGGTGAGGGAGGGCCGTTTTCACCTGAAACCCGACTGCCCTTGTGGGCTGGGTGGAAATTTCCCCACCGTGCAGACTTCACTCAACGAAGGCAAACTTTCCAGCCGCCCCCAGCCCCGCGTCGCGTGCTCTCCCCCGGCTTCCTGCCCGGCGCTAGCTCCAGCTGGAGCGCAGGCCCCGCCCCGCCGCTTTGTACTCGACACTCGCCTCTCTCAGCTCTTTGTACTCTACACTCTCAATGGACCGATCCTGGGAGCGGAGCCGGCTCCCTACCTGCGGGGACGCCGGGTAGGCAAGGAGGAGGCGCGGGGACAGAGATCCTGGGCTCTGGAAGCCGAGAAGGACTAACCGAGGCTAGAGGGAAGGTGCCCAGGGAGGGCAGCGCTGCACCAGTCGTGGGTCGAGCCAGAACCGACGGGAAGGGGTGGGGGGGGGGTCGTGAAGGAGGAAGTGAAACGGGTTCTGGGTTCTTTAAGGGAGTGGGCGGTGAGAGTGGGACAGGGGTGATGTCACCGCCCGTCGGGCCCCGCCCTCCTCCCGCCGAAGGACCCCCCCCAGTACACTTACACACGCTGCTTCCGCTGCGCAAGTAGCCACGTCACGGGCAACCCCCGAAATCCCCCCTCCCTTGGGGGGCGGGGGCCACGTGGGCCGTGGGGAACCGCGTGGCCCCAGAGGGGAAGGGCACAGAGGATACGGGAGCCACGCGAGAGGGGCCACTCGGGACCACGGTGCGCGACTCCTCAGAAGTTTGGGGATTAAACGGGGGTTTGGGTTGGGGGAGGGTCTGTTGGTACTGAAGACGTTGAGAGCCTGGCGGAGGAGCTGCAGGAACGGGTATGAGGCGGGGGGCTTGACCTAGGTTTGGGATGGGGTCAGGCCGGGGGACGGAGCGGCGCCGGCGGTCCTGGGGGTTGTACAAGTCGCCGTAGCTTGTCAGTCCCAGGCAGTTCCGAGGGGCAGTAGGAGTGGGGCGGTCAGGCGCGGGGAGATGCCAAGTGAGGAAGGGAAGGGAGGCCTTTGTGTGGGTCGCGCGCCCGTCTGCCGTCCGTGGCTCTCAAAGGGGGCAGGGGGCCGGGCGGGTCGGTGGGCGTCTCGGGCGGTCTAGCCGGGGACCGCGGGCGGCTCTCCGGGTTCGTGGGATTTGCGGGAGGCGCCATCCCCTAAGCCAGCCCGAGCGTACGAGTCGTCGCCCTCACCCGCACGGGTCACAGGCCCGAGTGTCAGGTCGGAGTTGGGGACCCTAGGTGGGAGTCGCGGGGGTCACATCGGGGTCACCCGGGGCCGAGCCCGTCTGACCGGCTCCGCCACCCCTCCTCCCCCGACCCGCAGCGGCGCTTAATCTCTCTCCTATTGGTCCCCGCCAGGCTGTTACTGAGGCGGAGACAGGGGTGATGATTGGCTTTCTGGGGAGAGAGGACGTCCTGTGATTGGCCAGGGCTCTGGAGCTCGGTGACGCTGCGAGGAGACGCTCCCACGGAGGCCTGGTGAGCGGTGGTGGCGTTGACTCTCGGCCCCCTGGGCTCCGGACTGGAAGCCTGGCAGCGCAGCCACCCCGTTTGAAACGACTAGCCTCCCCGCTCCCTGTCACTCCTCCGGCTTCTTACCACACTGCTGGGTATCTAGGGGCTTCTTAGGCCCTCAGGCCTCAGATAGACCTATGGGTGTTGCAGTCGGAGCCATTCCAGCCCCAGGGCCTGACTGTGTGCTAACCAGCTAACCTCACTCCTTTCCTCCTTATCTCTCTAGAATTGGCCGTGAAAGGCCCTGGCCGGCCATCTGGGGGCAGTGGGCACTCCTATCAGAGCAATTGGAGCAGGACCATCGTCCCAGAGAACTGGGGCAGGGGGCCTTGCCCAATCTCCAGGGCTCCTGGGGCCACTGCTGACCTGGTAAGGGAAAGATGGACTGGTGGGCTGTATGTATACTGGTAGCTCAGGCTCTGCCCCCAGTAAAACTGTAATCTTTTCTTGATTCAGGCTGGATGCATCGGGCAGTGGACCCTCCAGGGGCCCGCGCTGCACGGGAAGCCTTTGCCCTTGGGGGCTTGAACTGTGCTGGGGCCTGGAGCTCCTGCCCGCCCCATCCCCCTCCTCGTAGCGCATGGCTGCCTGGAGGCAGGTGAGAACATGCTCTTTTCTCTCTCTTTTCTCTCTCTTTGTTTCCAGGCACTGCTGTCCCAACTGTTATACCCGTCACTCTCTGTGTCAGGCTCCATGACTTTTTCCCATTTTGTGGCGCTTCTGTTGGTAGAATATTCAGCTGCCTTTTTCTCATATTCTCTAGGTCCCCTCCCTTGTGGGCAGGGACAGGACTACTTGGTCTTACTGTACATTAACATATCCCTTCTCTCTCCAGGTGCTCTGCCAGCATTGGGCAGCCCCCACTCTCTGCTCCCCTACCCCCTTCACATGGCAGTAGCTCTGGGCATCCCAACAAACCGTATTATGCTCCAGGGTGAGTGAGGATTCAAAGATGCTGGGGTGCTGGGCACTTGAGAGAATTTCCCGGAGCCTGACCACTCTCAACCCCTTCTACTCTGTAGGACACCCAACCCAAGACCTCTCCATGGGAAGCTGGAATCCCTGCATGGCTGTGTGCAGGCATTGCTCCGGGAGCCGGCCCAGCCAGGGCTGTGGGAACAACTTGGGCAGCTATATGAGTCAGAGCATGACAGTGAGGAGGCCATTCGTTGTTACCACAGTGCCATTCGATATGGAGGAGGCTTCTCTGAACTAGGGCCCCGCATTGGCCGACTACAGCAGGTAGGATGAGGCAGGACATTAGCAAGGATTGGGCTTCCTGGCTTAGTAGCCTCCTCTCATGTCTGCTTCTGCCTTGCCCCCGGATACTTCCCCCACCTCCCTAGGCCCAGTTCTGGAACTTTCATGCTGGCTCTTGCCAGCACCGAGCCAAGGTCCTGCCCCCTCTGGAGCAAGTGTGGAACCTGCTGCACCTTGAGGTAAGGATGGACCTGGGTAGGCTGTGGAGGAGAGCCTGGCTGGACCTGCACCTGTGCCATTCTCCTCCTCCTCTTGTCGTCTTCAGCACAAGCGGAACTATGGGGCCAAGCGGGGCGGTCCCCCCGTGAAGCGAGCCGCCGAACCCCCAGTGGTACAGCCTGTGCCTCCTGCAGCACTCTCAGGTCCCTCAGGGGAGGAGGGCCTCAGTCCAGGAGGCAAGCGCAGGAGAGGCTGCAACTCCGAGCAGGTATGGTTGTGTGTGGGCTGGCAGGCAGTGAGTGGGCATATCTGGGGTAAGGAGTGAGATTCTTATACCCACTTTTCTTCTAGACTGGACTTCCCCCAGTGCTGCCACTGCCTCCACCACCATTGCCACCGCCGCCGCCGCCGCCGCCGCCACCACCACCACCGCCACCCCTACCTGGGCTCGCCGCCAGTCCTCCATTTCAGCTGACCAAGCCAGGGCTGTGGAATACCCTGCATGGAGATGCCTGGGGCCCTGAGCGCAAGGGTTCAGTGCCCCCAGAGCGTCAGGTGAGTACCTATCTGTTGCTCCTCATCTGTAAACTGTAAGTCTGTGCACCCTCTATTTCTCACCCTGTCCTCATTTGTATTTCACAGGATCAACGGCACTCGCTGCCTCACCCATATCCATACCCAGCTCCGGCCTACACCGCGCACCCACCTGGCCACCGGCTGGTCCCGGCTGCACCCCTAGGCCCAGGCCCCCGCCCCCAGGAGCAGAGAGCCATGGCTGCCCGCCTGCCACCCGTCCCCCCGGAAGTGACCTTAGAGAGAGCAGAGTTCAGAGGTCGCGGATGGACTCCAGCGTTTCACCAGCAGCAACCACCGCCTGCGTGCCTTACGCC